TCCCTCCCTTTATGGCAGGGGGGCGGGAAGGGGGGTGGAAGCAACTAGTCAACTAGTGTGTCAACTATCCGATAAGCGTTTGTTTATTGGATAGTTGACTAGTCGATCACATCCCTAGTATATAATAGTACCTAGATGAAAGATGGGCGAACTTTTTGATCCGAGGGCCACATCTCATGATGGAAACTGTATAGAGGGCTATGAATGCTCACAAAATTGGGGGTTGGAGTGCAGGAGGAGCGTGGGAGCTCCAACTAGGTGTGCAGGCTCTGAGGTGGGGCCAGAAATGAGGAGTTCAAGGCGCAGGAGGGTTCTCCAAGCTGGGACCGAGGGTTTTGGAGGGTGGGAGGGGGCTCTCGGCTAGGCTAGGAGAGGGGGGGACATGGGGAGGTCTCTGGCTGGGGATGCAGACTCTGGGGGAGTTGGGATGAGGAATTTGGGGTACAGGAGGGTGTGCTGAACTGGGATAGAGGGGTTTGGGGGGTGGGAGTGGGATAAGGGCTGGAATGTGAATTAGGTGCAGAGGGGGGCCTTGAGTGCAGAATCTGGGCAGTGCTTACCTGCAGTGGCTCCTGGAAGCAGCAGCCCCATCCCCTCTCCGGCTTCCAAGGTGAGGTGGGGCCACACAGCTCTGCACACTAGCCCATCTGCAGCCACCGCTCCTGCAACTCCCATTAGCTGTGGTTCCCCACCAGTGGGAGCTGCGGAGCCACCAACTGGGGCAGGGGTAGGATGCAGAGCCTCCTGGCTGCTCCTGCTTCTGGGAGCTGTGTGGAGCTGCTGCATGTGCAGAGCAGAGCAAGGCAAGCTCCCAACTCTGCTCCCTAGTGGGAGCTCAAGGCCCATATTAAAATGTCCAACAGTATGGAGCAGCCTGCGGGCTGTAGTTTACCCACCCCGAGCTAAAGGCATAGGTGCTGGAATTAGTGTGTGGAGGTGCTTGTGCACCCCCTGGCTTGAAGTGGTTTCCATTATATTTTACTGCCTGGTTCAACATCTGTGTGCACTACCACTTTAATAAATGTTCCAGCATCCCTGCGTAGAAGATCCACCTGAGATCAGGGCTGCCATGTATTAGACATTGTACCAGCATGAAGTAAGAGAAGGTCCCTTCTCTGAAGAGCTTATAACTAACCAGACAAGACAGACACTGGTGTGGGGGGAGAGGGGGGAGAGGAGGAGATGTAATTGGCAGCTGTGTCTTGATCTACAAAACTTATTTTATGATATCTAAATAAAAGCAAAGTATGAAAAAAGGGAATTAATAGGCCTCACTTGAGGTCAAATCCCACAAACACTCATTCAAGTTGTTCAACTGACTTTCTTGGGACTAAGGGTTCATAAGGTACTAAGTTATATAGCTACTTTTGTGAAACTAGTAACAATCTTTTAAAAAATTAACACTTCGCTTATTGAATGTATTAAGGTCCCAAACCTGCAAACATTTATGCATGCACTTGAAGTTAATAGTGTTTGTAAGTGTTTGCAGGATTGAGATTTAAAGCAGCAGTAGTGACCTGAAATTTCATTACTCATAAAATAATCAATTATTGGAACACAATACAATTACAACACATCAGATCAACTATAAGCTCTATAATGGGCCTCATTCCCTACCCTTTTGCATCATATTGACTAGTAATCCTGTTGCTATTTTTCTCTCCTCTGTCTATAGATGGAAAATGTTGGAGGACATAGCATTCCTCTGATCTCATTCCCAATTTAAATTGCTAATTTAACTGGTGCTAACTAATCTTTTCAGAGATTCGAGCAGTTGAAAATCTCATATTTAGGAGCTGCTCTGTATTCTCTTACTGGACTGAATTATTTTGTTAAACAAAAATATTAAGAGAATAAAATAATTTGTATTTGGAAAATTATTGTGTTTGTCTTTTGGAATCTTTTAATTTCTCTCTAAAGAGAAATATAAAGGTTGCAAAAGTTTAGGTCAGATATCGCTAAGGATAAGGGTGTATTTTAATTTAATAATCTATTAAAAAGTTTGCACCTCTTAGGCAGATTAGTCAGTGAATTACTGTGTCAAACTTTAATTAAGGCTATTGATAGCAGAAATTTATCATCACTTAAACTGATACTGAATAGGAACCATATTTGTTGAATTATATGTATCTTTCCTAGAATTAAAGAAATGATGACAAATGATTTAGACCAGTTTATTGAAGATCAAAAGACCAAACTGGCACAAGACAAAGCAGAACTTGAAAATGATCCTCCCTACATGGAGATAAGGGTAAGATTACTACATTATTTATCTAATTCAAACAGTTTTATTGTTGAAATCTTGGCTTGTCTCCTGCTAGTTTGCACATAAGAGTTTCTTTTTTATAAGGGTATTTTATGACTGAGTTGCCTGTTGTAAAACAATTTCTAATGTCTTTCTGCATCTGTTCTTATAGTGATTTTGTCAGATCAAACTTGCCCTTTCCTACCCATTTAATTTTAAATAGACATTCACAAATGTGAAGACCAAAATAAATTTTCATGGCATTTCTAAATTCAAATGGAAGCAGTTATTTCTGTTAACACAAACATGGTAAACATTGAAGTTCTCATGCAGGAGAGCAATACTTAAAGAGAAATTGCCTGGAAATAAATTAGTCTGTTTTCATTATCCAAGCTTGGGCAATGCAAAAAATAAACACTAGATGAAGGATAAACAAATAAGCACAATTTTTTTGTATGCTCAATTCAGAAGGTACTATTCATATCTAGGGCCCTTCCAAATTCGAGGTCCATTTTGGTCAATGTCATGGTCATAGGATTTTAAAAATTGTAAATTTTGTGACTTCAGCTATTTAAATCTGAAATGTCATGGTATCTTAATGGTGGGGCACCTGATCATAAAAGGAATTGTGGGGAAAAGGTTGCAACTGGTACTGCTACTTGTCACTTTGGCACTACTGCAGGTGGTAATGTTGCCTTCATGGCTGGACAGCCAGAGAGCAGTGGCTTTTGGCCAAAAGCCAAAGCCAGCTCTGAAGACTGAGTTGCTGCTAGCAGCTGTGCAGAAGTAACTGTGGTATGGTATTTTCACCCTTGCTTCTGCTGTTGATTGTGTGGGTGTGGCCTTCAGAGCTGGGTGCCCGGCCAGTAGCCATCACTCTCCAGTCACCCAGCTCAAATGACAACCCAGAAGTAAGGGTGGCAATACTGTGCCCCCCCCCCCCCCAAAGTAACGGGTGACTCTCCTGAAACTGCCTTTTCGGTTAGGACCCCCAATTTGAGAAACGCTGATCTCTCCCATGAAATCTATATAGTTAGAGCTCTGCGTGGATACAAAATTTGTATCCATATCCATATCTGCAAAAATGAGCTGTGGCTAACAGGATCTACGTCCACAGGTGTGGATTCCCGCAGATCTGCACGGTTTTAGATACAAAATGTGTATCCATGTCAGTATCTGCTAAAATGAGCCACTGATATCCACATCTACATGGACGCAGTTATCCACAGATAAAAAGGGGATATCTACATGATTATGTAGGGCTTTATTTTAGGTTTGCCATTAGGAAAAAGTTCCTAACTGTCAGGGTGGTTAAACACTGGAATAAATTGCCTAGGGAGGTTGTGGAATCTCCATTTCTGGAGATATTTAAGAGCAGGTTAGATAAATGTTTATCAGGGATGGTCTAGACAGTACTGGGTCCTCCAGGAGGGCTGGGGATTGGACTCGATGACCTCTCAAGGTCCTTCCTAGTCCTAGTATTCTATGATTTATGTATAGTATAGGGTTAAGGCATGCAAAAGTTAAAGCATGCAACAGATTTCAGTTTGTGATGCATTGTTTATGGCTGTGAATTTGATTGGGTCCCATTTGTACTACAGATAAGAACACTAAACCATTAGGCTTTTTAACCTGATGGTTTGTTCATTATTACCAGGATTATTTGAGTATATAGTGTGCTCCTAAATAAATAAGACATAAAACAATGTCAATTTTTTGGTTTTATTTAAAACTATGGTCATAGGTAAACTTTGTTAATGTTTTTGCCATGTGAAATTTATTTGCTGTATTTTTATTCACATGATAGCAATAAGGGATTGTCACTATTTATTCAATAACTTTTTCATTTAAACAATACTTCAGAATTATTTCAAAATAGAGAAACCACCCTTTGTCAATTTGTATTTAGCATTGCAGCATTGAGACTCTGAGGTATCAAATACAGGCAGTCCCCGGGTTACGTACAAGATAGGGACCGTAGGTTTGTTCTTAAGTTGAATTTCTATGTAAGTCCGAACTGGCGTCCAGATTCAGCCGCTGTTGAAACTGACCAGCAGCAGCTGAATCGGACATGCCTGGGGCAGAGCAGCTGGAGTGCTGCTGGATTGGTCTGGTAGCGCCGACCCTTGGCGCGGCGGGACCAACCCGGCAGCACCCCAGCTGCTCTTGGGGACGCCTGGGGCAGAGCAGCTGGGGTGCTGCTGGG